CATGCACAGCAAACAAGTAAAGGTGGACAGCTCCTCACTTTCGTTTGGTTGTTGATGAATCATTTGGGCCTGGGAACTCAATTTTCAACTGAACAACTTTCACAGACGGAAGGGACTGAACTCGGGCGAGACCAGCCATAACAGAAGGATTGAATCTTCTGAAGATAGATTAATTCAGGTGTGCCTTATCTATTCGCCTTTCTTAAATGTGCACTTATTAACGCCTCTTATGTTTTAAAAACATGTGTATCTTATTACGGTTTTTATGTGTGTTTTGTGTGTTCGTGAGTTCCAAAATTTAGTTTCTGTAATTGTGTGTGTTTTGAGTACTGCTTGGATCCACTTAATAGTATGCTTTTTGCATATCAAAAAATGGACATGTGTATCTTTGATTTGGTGTTTAATATTTGAAGGAAATCTTATCAGGTAATTCTTATTTCAAGGAGCCACGTTTTGTGCTTAATAGTAGCGAGTAGAAAATTTCGCGAAGGAAGGAAATTTTTTTTTTTAAAAGAAACTGACTGAAATTATAATTGATAGGTTGAATTTGACCGAGTTTAAAATTTTTTTAACTTGAGTTTGGTCATAACCAAATGAGGTGAGTTTTGGTTATTGAGGTCCAAAACCAAAGACTCGGTACTACGCCGAGTGTAACCAAATTTTTTTTTACTTTCTTTTTTAGGTCTTCCAACCCATTGTCAAATTTTTGTGCCTTTTTTTAATATTAATTTTTAAATTTAATGCTTTGTGAAAATTTTTATGCCTTCCCCTCCTATTCCCGGCCGAGTCCACGCCAAATATTGGCTAAATTTAAATTTTTATGTTTAATTATCATTAAACATAAAAATTTAAGCTTTGTTTATTATAGTTGTAATTTTATAATTTTTATTTTGACTTTTATAAATTTCACATCTCGAAACAAAAAACTTATTTATTTTCACAAGTTTTTTCAACATATTATTAATTATAATTATTAGAGAAATAAGAACAAAAATAATTATAATATTATTAAATAAGTAAATATTTGCAATTGTCAATATTTAAATTTGTTTTAAACAAATTTTAAACTTTTTATTTTTAATTTTAGTTTTCATTAGTTGTAAAATTTATAAAAAATTAAAACAAAGAATTTAAAATTATAACCATAGTAAATCTTAATTGCTCGATAATTTTATTCTTTGTAGTAGCCAAAACCATACTTTACCCACCCTGGAGCTCAGACCAAAAAGTCAATATTCTCAGTAGGAGAGTGGGTCTCCTCGATTGTCTTTCTTAAATATATACTTAAAGCTTCTTATTATGTTTTAGAAACGTGTCTTTGATTTGGGTACACAAGAAACTGAAAAAAGAATTATGTTTTATCGTTTGAATTGTATTAAATTATTTTTTTAATAAATTAAATATTATTAGAAAGATATAAAGCAGTGGTGGAATCAAAATTCTATGCAGGGTAGGGCTTATGATAATTGGACTAAAATTGTCAATTTTTCAGTAGTGAGCTCCTATGCTTTTTTGGAAAAAGGAATATTTTAAATTAATAATAATAAATAAATAAAAATAACTAATAAATAATGATAATTATTAGTATATTTTTTCAGTCATTTACTAGTCTTCAAAGTAATTTTCTAGGGTTGTCATACATATAGTCTTTTTATTATTGTTAGTAATTCTTCAAAAAACAGATAAGTTGAAGAAACTAATGAGTTGTCCAACAATTACATGTTAGATAATGATTTATTTTGAAAGATTTTAGAAAAGTTAACGAACTCATTTTTAAGGTATAATTGTTTATACTATGAATTTATTATTTTATAATTATTTTTTATTTATGATTAAGAATTTGAACAAATTAAAGAGCATTATTTCTCAAATAATATACAAATCCATTTTTTCTTAAGTCCTAAATTATGTCCATTTTATCAAGATTAATTGTGTTAATGTAATTTGATTGTCAGCAAATTCTCCAAGGCCTGGTACTAATAGTATGTTGGAATAGGAAAACGAAGATGGACATAAGGGAAATAGAGAGAGAATGTGTATTTTAAGATTTTAATTTTTTTAATATTCTAAAATTATTAATTACATTAGATAAAGCACCAATGAAGTTTTCTTTTGTAAATAGTTTTCACATCATGGAATATTGAAATCCACTAATGAGCGAAAAAATATCAGAATTGAAATCCTTAGTTAAGAGCAAATAAAGTTTGTTCTTTTTTTTTTTTTTTTTGACTGGAGGAAATACAGTGTTAAGTTAGTATTTGTTTGAAAAAAGTCGAGTTTGAGACTCAACTTATAGACTGAATTGCGTTCCACATGTTTCTCACTTTGGACCTAATTCTCACTTTGGAGAAGCGTGGCTGCCACTGTGGCCACATGGGAGAATGCAAAGTTTGTTCCTTTAAGTATTAAATTAATGAAACTTAGTGTCTTACTTAGCTATTTATGCCAATTACTAAAATAGGGCCTTCCCTCTTTTAGCTTACTTTTTCTTAATATTTTTAGGGGGAAGGGTAGTGCCTGTGCCCAACCATTCCCCTTAGTAGTTCCACCACTAATATAAAGGTTACTTCAGATCCATTTTACATCAACACTAAATCTCATTAAATCTCAAAATAAGGGCTTAAAAAGGTTATATTTTAACATAGCACCACCTTGTATTGTTCAATTACTTTAGCACAGTCTAAGGCATTACTTGACCATTCATGTAAAGCAAATGTAAATCACTTTGCCTTTCCTTTTAACCATAGAGATGTTTTAATTTGATTGTATCAAACCATAAAATAAGGACCGTTAGATGTAGGGAGAGCCCCTAATATTAGTAGGTCCAACTCATATTTTAGAGGTTCAACTTTCATTTAATAGTTAGTGTTGTATAGTCCAGTATAGTTAAGATTATATAACACTTTTTTCAATTTAAAAAGAGAGAATAAAGGTTTTTTGCTTTCTAAATTAATATTAATAGTGTATGTAAAATAACTTATATATAGATGTTTATAAAAAAAATATTCTTAAGTGTAGAATATTTACAAAAAAAACTATAAATAGTATAAATATGATTTGAATAGCGTGAATAGTCGATTGTTCATTATTGTGCCCATATCCTTTTTTTTTTTTGGGTTTAGCGGTTAAGATCTCTCCAAGTCAATTTGCATGCGCCTAGAGACTAATCCTTCTTTGGTCCAATCCAAGGCAAATCATCTACTTTAGGACTAGAGAATTCAATGAAGAATTACCACCCCCTTGGCCTCACCAAAAAATCGAACCTTGATCAATAAGGTGGGAGTAAATTTCATTACCAATTAATTCACAACTCATTGGATATTATGTTCATATCTTAACACCCTTCAAACTCAAAGTGATTGTCATAAAACCAACTTGAATTTGGAAAGAAGAGTATCAAAAGCATCCATTAGCAAAGCCAATGAATAGTTTCTTGTGCAACATAATGGCGAATAAAGTGACAATCAACATCATTATGTTTCATGTGTTCAAGAAAGATATCATTATAAGCAATTTACATAACACTATCTATATCAATCTAGAATTGGCTCGATTCTGGTTGTGATTGACCAATACATGAAAGATTAGTAGTGTATATTATCAAGAATAATATTAATTAAAATAAATATTAAATAAAGAAATGCTTTATTTACATATAAATCTTAATTATTTATCTCTTTATTTTTAATGATTGAGATTTGTCATATTTTTTAAGTGAAAAAGATAATTATATTTAATAAATGTAAATAAATTTCAATTATTGAAAATGAAGAGATAAATAGTTAAGATTTTATATAAGTATGATATGTAAAATTTATGTGTAAATAAATACTTACTTTATTAAATATATTTTATATACTTTTAGATATTAAAATTAAAAACCCTACACCAATTATAATTATATTAAATAAGTGTTTTGTAATCTAAATTATATTGAATTATAAAACAATATACTCTAAATACATTAACTTTTTTTCTTTTGCTATTTAATGTGCTGGAAACCTTTTTCTTTTTTTTCTTTTTTTCTTTTTTTCATTTTTGTCAAATCCATTTCCAATTTCAATTTTCAACGACATTCCTTCGCCTGTGACCACCGGACCAACCCATTTTCACATGCATTCTTTATTGGTGGGTGGCGTATAAATAACGTTGACTTCTTTTGACTTGGGCTGATCAGCTACCCGGCCCGGTCCAACCCATATATAAGAACAGAAAATTTTGCGGCGGTCGGTCGCGTTTCCCTTCGCTTATGTTTCCGCCTTACGGAACTGTCAACTAAAGAAAGGGAGTGCTGGCCGGAAATTACAATTATTGATTTTTTTTGGCTTTTTAATATTTTTAAGATATATAAAATAATTTAATATTTATTTCTATTAATATTTTATATATTTTAAAATAAAAAAATACATA